CCAGGATGGTCTCGATCTCCTGACCTCGTGATCCGCCCGTCTCGGCCTCCCAAAGTGCTGGGATTACAGGCTTGAGCCACCGCGCCCAGCCAAAAAAATATTTAAAGATAAAAAAAGATTGATGGCTGCTACTCTGGGCACACTGCCCATGGCCACAGGAGCAGTTAAAAACAACGAAAAAGGATTGGTCCTTCTTGGGGTAGGAACAGAAGGTGAGGCATTCCTTCTCTTAGCCACCAGCTGCACGGCAGTGCTGACCCCACTGCCTGCCTGAGCCCTGACACTGGGGGCTTGAGAGGTCCTCTGTCAGTACACCGAGGCCCAGAGAGGATGAACAACTTGCTCAACGTCACATCACAGATCAGCGATAAAGTGTGGGCCTGACTCAGGGACTGAATGTGGGATAATCCTCCTTCCACCTCCCCAAGCCGCCTCCCCATGACCCCCTAGCCCACAAACTCTAGCATCTTAGGAAAAGTTGGCTGGGGCTGGGCGTGAGTGTGAGAAGCAGAGTTATTTCAGGCCTCAGGAGGGCTGGGTGCTGCCTTGGAGTCCAGCCAGGGGGTGGGGACGAGTGAAGGCGGGTGTTGTGGTGTAATGTGGGGGTGCGCTGTGCCCGCCTTCTTGTCAGGCAGTAATTACTCAGACTGCTGAGTAACTCAGGCAGGGAGACCCCCACAGACAGATGGAGGTGTCCTCGGCCCAAGCTGAATGGCAGCCCCCAATGTCCTGCACTATGGGGTCTTGAGGAAGCATTCTCACATCTGTTCTTCATGTCCAGTTCTCTTAGGCATCATCTGGCTTCCTAATGGGTGCCAGAGCAGTTCATTAGGCACAGTGGATGCGGGGTGATGTTACAAGAGGATGGGACCTTTGCCATCCACAGGCCCCACCTCTGATGAGGGAAAGGTCCCAAGGGATATGGCGCCTGCTAGGGAGAAGCCATTGCTCAGCTGGAGCCAATCCTTTCCCTTTGAAACTCGATGCTGCAGCCAGAGCTAAGGCTGTCTACAGGCTGGGCAGTGGAGTCCTGAGAAAGGAGGGGCTGAGTGAGCTCCTGGAATTCAGATCTTGCACCCTGGGGATCCGAAGAAGTTGAGGGGAGATGGGAAGGTCCAGTCTGGACGCTTGTCGAGTGGAGGGGAGTGTTCCTGGGACCCACAGTGGTCATGTTTCTGTCTAGAGCTACCTGTCCTAAGAGTGCTGATGGCCTGCGGGGCAGAGCACTGACCCTTGGTGATCACTCCCCGCCTACCCAGCCATTTCTCCTCCCTGGGCAGCCTCCCAGGCAGGGCCTGTCTCTGGCTGCTTGTTTTCACTTCTCCCTGCACCTTAATTAGGGGTTTCCAAGCAGGGAGGGCCTCTGGGGGAGCCCAAGGCCACAGAGCTGACTTAAAGGGCTAGCTGTGCTCACAGCACCACCACAGAGAGAAGAGGAGGACGCCAGGGGACTGGGTAGACCGTCAGCCCTGACAGACCATTGTTCTGCAGGGCAGTCTGCTGAGGGCCAGTCCTGCAGGTACTTTGCTCTTCCAAAGGTCAAAGCCGTTACACTGGCTGTCTTCTCTTTGGGGTCTCTTGGGCTCTGTCAGTGATCAGGAGAAAGACTAGCCCTGAGGGGCAGGGCAAAGGTTGGCCAGGGTCCAGAAGGGTTAGACATCACAGTCCTCGACTGCCCACCCTCCCAGGAAAGCACCCTCAGGCTGTGGGCTTTCCCCAAAGGTGCAGTTTCGTCCATGTGAACCTTCTACAGGGTCTACACGGTGGATTCTTTTTCTTTTTTTTTATTTTTTGAGACGGAGTCTCCCTCTGTTGCCCAGGCTGGAGTGCAGTGGCAGGATCTCAGCTCACTGCAAGCTCCGCCTCCCAGGATTACGCCATTCTCCTGCCTCAGCCTCCCGAGTAGCTGGGACTACAGGCGCCCGCCACCTCGCCCGGCTAGTTTTTTGTATTTTTTCATGGTTATGGGTTTTGTTATAGACCTTCATTATCAGAAGCTCAACCTCAAGGCATCCTCAGGAGGGTGGGAGAGGGGAGACATTCTCCCAGGCTGGCTGGGGCTGGCTAACTGACTTTGGTTTTGCCCGCAGGGACTGTTCTCTATCAGGAAAAAGCCAGTTATGTGGACTCAGACTCATTCTTTGCTTCCTTAGCCCCTGGTGTCACCTCTTTACTCTCCTGAGGACGAAGGTGAGCCATATTCTATTCATGGGCTCAAGTCTTCCCATTCCCAGTAATTCACAACATGAATTATACCGGTTACCTTCTGGCTTAATGAATGTCTTTGCTACTTTCGGGATGAATTCAGTGAGAACGAAGCGGGGGCCAACCCCTTGGTGTCTGGATCTGGCCTTAAACTTGGGGAGTTTAACAGGCTTAGGCTGGGTCTTGTTTACTGAACTCAACTTGGTCTCCCTGTCCTCACAAAGCAAAGCCAAACATGACATTGGATTTGCAGGGAGGTGGTGTTCGAGAGAACAAGCATTTATTGTAATCGTCCAAAGCAGGGGACCTGGGCAGCTAAGGGCTTAAGAACCCTAAATCCCGAAGGCTTTGGCAAGCAAAGGGTCTTTTATTTTTTAAATTTTATTTATTTATTTATTACTATTTATTTATGTATTACAAAAAAAAAAAAATTTTTTTAAGGTGATAAGGACGATCCAGAAACCTGCACCAAGACTCTCAACTTGGAGTTGTGCTGGTGGTCCCTGAGTTCTGTCCTGCCGGACAGTGGGGTCCCCCTAGGTAGGGAACGTGGTCCCACACGGCGGTGACCGGCCACTGCTTACCAGGAGGGGGAGACTGGCAGGGGGTCTGAAGGAAGATCTGGTGGGTGTCCCCCTTCACAAGACTCGGCCTGCAAAGCTCGTGCAGGGAGTTAGCACATAGGAGAGCTCTGGTCTGGGAGTGGCAGGCTCGTGCACGGCCGGGGAGAGGAGTGGGAGACTGAGTCGCAGGGAGAGGGCAACTGCAGTGGTCGGGGACCACCAGGGAATCCCGAGTCCCGGCATTCTGGGCTGGGGTGGAACTCCGTATAGCCCCGCCCCGATCTCCTCCTTTATGGCCCCGCCCAGCGGGTATCCCCGCCCCCCGCTGAGCGATCGGCGATCGATCGCAATGTCTGCGCTCTCCGCGTTCTTCCAGCGTTGTCTTTTTAGTACCACGTGCGCAGGCAAGTGATGGCGGCGCTGGTTGTGTTCGGGGCAGCGGAGCAGGGCGGCCGAAACGGCCCTGGCAGAGGTGGGTGCTGCAACGCTGCGCTCTCCAGACCTCACATCTCGGGGCGGGGCCCCCAAGTTAGGGATAGGACCAACCCCCTTTAACGGCGGCAGCGTCTTTCTCCTCTAATCCCGCTGTTAGTCGCCTTGGGCCGCTGTCACCAGCTGGGGGTCGCTGTCAACCGGAGCCCAGGGGTACCAGTCTTTTGCAGCTTTAGGGCGCGACCGAGAGCAGTCCTGAATCCTCAAATCGGAAACTACAGCCTTGCCTTGGCGGGCAGACGGACGCAGGAAGATTGACGGATAAAACGGACTCCACGGGGAGGGAAGGGGCCAGGCCCGTTGCAGCTGGCGTCTTACGAGTGCGCCCTCAGGGAATGCTTTCAGGGAACAGACACAAGGTTTCATTCGCCAGGCATTAACTGAGCGCCCACCGAATGCCAGGCCTGCGCTGGGTGCAGGTACTGGAATCAGAGATCTCAGTCTACTGGGGGAATGTTAATGTAAACATATCATAGCCTTGTGATGAAGGAGGAGGTGCCTCCTGGCCCCTGGGACACATTGAAGGGCTAATGTTAGCAGCTTCTACACCCCAACGACCACCAGGGACCTGTCAGAGGAGGATCTGTGATGGGCCTAGGAATCCTAGGCTGATTGTCCAAGGCTTTCGAAACAACTGACCAAAAACCATAGCAGTAGTAACGTTCAAATCTGGTCTCAGGGTCCCAGCCTGCCAGACTAGATCTCCACTGAACCATCCCCACCGCCGCCCACACAGTGGGTGAAGCCTCAAATCTGGGCGGATCCCTCCTATCATAGCGTGGGACCCTAGCAGAAGTTGTGGCACACAGTACAGTCTCAATATATATTCGTTGAATAAGTTAATTTCTTGCCTTTTCGTATCCTCAGACTGGCTCCTAAAGAGATATCGGGGTTGAACTAAGCTTAATGTGGGGCAGGGCATATAGTGGCTTACACCTTTAGTCTGAGCACTTTGGGAGGCTGAGGAGGATTGTGTGAGCCCAGGAATTCCACACCAGGCTGGGCAAGATAGGGGGACCCTGTATGCACAAAAAAATTAAAAAATAGCTGTGTGTGGCTGGGCGAGGTGGCTCACACCTGTAATCCCAGCACTCTGGGAGGCAGAGGTGGGCGGATCACCTGATGTCAGGAGTTCAAGACCAGCCTGGCCAACATGTTGAAACCCTGTCTCTACTAAAAATACAAAAATTAGCCAGGCGTGGTGGCGCATGCCTGTAATCCCAGCTACTTGGGAGGCTGAGGCAGGAGAATTGCTTGAGCCCGGGAGGCTGAGGTTGCAGTGAGATGAGATCGCGCCACTGCACTCCAGCCTGGCGGACAGAGTGAGATTCTGCCTAAAAAAAAAGAAAAAGCCGTGCGTCTTGGCAGTGCCTGTAGTCCTAGCTACTGGGGAGGCTGAGGTGGGAGGATTATCGTTTGAGCCCAGGAGGTCAAGGCCGCAGTGGACCATGACTGCGCCCCTGCACTCCAGCCTGGGTGATGGAGGGAGACCCTGCCTTAAAAAATAATAAGCTGAATTGTGGGGAACAGGGTGAGACCAGAGTAAGGGCTGCAGTCTTGCTAAGCGCTACGGTTTCCCCTTTACTCCAGGAGTTGTAATTATGTGTAAACCTGTCTTTGCTAGACTACTGGTCCCTAAGGGACAAGGTCACTTTTCTGTCCTTACTGGTACGTCCACCACCCTAACTCAAGTGTTCTTCCCATCTTTCCTGGCTTAAGAGTAAGGAGGAGCAATGGGACAGCTAAGTCAGTGTATGATGTTTATTTCCCTTTTAAATGAGGAGAGGTAAGCGTGAAAGAATTAACTAGTGTGGCCATAGTCAGTGGGATTCGGAGTAAGGAGGGCAGTCTTTTAAGTTAGTATTCATGTTTAATGGTTTGCTTATAGACCTCATATCTAGAAGCTCAAACCTTCAAGGCATCCTCAGGAGGTGGGAGAGGGGAGACATTCTCCCAGGCTGGCTGGGCTGGCTAGACTGACTTTGGTTTTCCGCAGGGCTGTTCTCTATCAAGGAGCAGTATGTGGACTCAGACTCATTCTTTGCTCCTTAGCCCCCTGGTGTCACCTCTACTCTCCTGAGGAAGAAGGTGAGCCATATTCTATTCATGGGCTCAAGTCTTCCATTCCCAGTAATTTCACAACATGGAAATTATACCGGTTACCTTCTGGCTTAATGAATTGTCTCTACCTTCGGGATGAATTCAGTGAGAACGAAAGCTGGGCCAACCCCCTTGGTGTCTGGATCTGGCCCTTAAACTTGGTGGAGTTAACAGCTTAGCTGGGTCTTGTTACTGAACTCAACTTGGGTCTCCCTGTCCTCACAAAGCAAAGCCAAACACTGACATTGAGATTTGCAGGGAGAGAACAAGCATTTATTGTAAGGTGCCAAGCAGGGAGACTGGGCAGCTAAGGCTTAAGACCTAAACTCCCTGATGGCTTGCAAGCAAAGGGTTTTTATTTTTTAAATTTTATTTATTTATTTATTTATTTATTTATTTATTTATTTACTTACTTTGAGACGGAGTCTCGCTCTGTTGCCCAGGCTGGAGTGCAATGGCGCAGTCTCGGCTCACTGCAAGCTCCGCCTCCCGGGTTCACGCCATTCTCCTGCCTCAGCCTCCTGAGGGACTACAGGCGCCCGCCACCATGGCCGGCTAAGTTTTTGTATTTTTAGTAGAGACGGGGTTTTGCCTTGCTAGCCAGGATAGTCTGGATCTCCTGACCTTGTGATCTGCCCGCCTCAGTCGCCCAGCACTTTGGGATTCCAGGCGTGAGCTGCCGTGCCAGGCCGCAAAGGGTTTTTAAAGGCTGGGCTGCAGGGGGTCTTGAAAGTGAATTAAGGGCTGGGGAATTTCTGGAAGTTTCTTCCCTACTTTCTGGCTTCAGTCTGTCTTAGGTCTTACATGACAGCAATTAGTTGGCATCTTTCATCTGGTGGGGGGTCCTGGTTTCCGAAAAACAACTTAGGGCTATATGTCAAGATGTTATCTTTAGTTCCTGTGGGGAACCAGACATCTCATGACTCTGACTTGAGTGACTGTTGTTTATTATCTTCTTGTTTAGCAAGTTACTGACTTCCCTAATTGCTGGTTATAGGGCTAGCTAAGATGCCTGGGACTTTTCTTGAGATGACTCAAAATTTTTTATTTCTGTGCTTGAGTGGGGGCACCGACGACCCTGAAAAGGGGTCCCTATTCCACCTCAGTCTGGCTGCGGCCAAAGACAGACAGCAGCTCAGGCCTTCTATCCATTCTAGTTCGGGCCCCTCGGGGCCGCGTGGTCAATCAGATCCCCGCTGAGATCCTGAAGAACCCCCAGCTGCAGGCAGCAATCCAGGTCCTGCCTTCCAACTACAACTTTGAGATCCCCAAGACCATCTGGAGGATCCAACAAGCCCAGGCCAAGAAGGGTGAGCCCGTGGTCATTGAGCTGGGCTGGGGGTGGAGGGGCTGCCTGGCCCGGGTGGGACAGCGTCCCCCTTGCAGTCCCTTCCTAGCCCTCCACCTCGCACGTCTTTGCTCTGTCTCGCAGTGGCCTTGCAAATGCCGGAAGGCCTCCTCCTCTTTGCCTGTACCATTGTGGATATCTTGGAAAGGTGAGGCTTGGGACCCTGGAGAGAAGGCTGAGCCAGGCTGCTCCCACCCCCTATGCTCATTACCCGGGTGGGTAATGCCCTGGTGGTGGGCATTTTTTCCTTCTGGACCTCCGCCGTCCCCGTTTCCCTCCCACAACCACGCACACACTAAGGGAAAACCCGAAACAAATCTCCAGCTTGCTGAGGCCCTGCATGTCCCTGCAAATCTCTCCTCCCTAAACATTTGGGACAGAGAAAGAAACCAATCCCAGCGTCTTCAAAGCTGCACCCAGAGCAGGTGGTAGGACCCAGGGAGGAACCTGAGAATTCTCCAAGCTGCCCCTGAAATGTGCTGAGTGGTCAGTGAGAGGTCCGTCGGTGGGGGCGGCGGGGGCACCTTTTCCTCAGGCACATTTGGGGAAGTAGAGCAAGGATGGGTTTGGAGCACGGAGTGTCCAGGAGAAGGTATTCAGTTCCTCTACATCCTACCCCTGTCACTCTAAGTTTCTGCAATACAATGAGCCATCCTTGGTGGGGAGGGTGAGAGCTTAGCCATCTGGAACCAGCAAGGAACAGGGGAGGGGAAGGAAGAAAGGGGAGGTCATCCCATGCTGGGAACCTCCCACTCCCCTGCTGCCCCATCCCCCTCCCTCCCCTGCTCCCCATCCCCCTCCCCTGCTCTCCCTCCCCCTTCCCTCTTGCCCCCTCCCTATCCCACGCTGAGGGCTGGGGTGGGCATAGGTGTGGCTGTATGGATACACACAGCCCCCATCTCGCCTGGGACCCCCTCCC